CCCTTTGGACCTTTTCTTCCTATTTCACATTATTGATTATACATTTTGATTTTTCTTTATACTTTCAATTTCTCACATGAGAGAAACTATTCAATATTTACACATGTGTGTCCTATTTACTTCACATAAGAGTATGGTCTGAAGGTCCATCCATTTACCTATAAATGTCTTTAATTTATTCCTTATGTCTGAGTAGAATTCCATTTTACAAAAAAACCCCACATCTTCTTTATCCAGCCTCCAGGTGATGGGCTATTGGGGTCTTTCCAAATTTTAGCTATTACAAACTATGCTGCTACAAACTTGCATGCACATGTATTACTGTGGTATAATTCTTTAATTTTATTTATTTATTTGGTACCAGGGATTGAACTCAGAACCTTGTGCTTGCGAGGCAGGTGGTGAGATTCTTTTCATTCCTTTGGGAAGATACCCAGCAGGGGAGTAGCTGGGTCAAATGGGACCTCTAATCCTAGTTTTCTGAGGTGTCTCCACATAGATTTCCACAGTGGTTGCAGCAGTCTGCGCTCTAACAGTGGAGAAGGGTTCCTTTCTCCCCACAACCCCGCCAGCGTTTGTCATTGGTTGATTTCTCGATAGCAGCCATTCTTTCTGAGGTGAGGTGGAATCTCAGTGCTCTTTTCATCTGCATCTCTCGAATGACCAGTGACGTGGGCATTTTTTTTCACATATTTATTTGCTGCTTCTGCTTTTTTGTCTGAGAAATGTCTGTTCATCTTAGATTCTTTGTTTTTTTTTTTTTTCCAGATCCTTTGTTTTCAAAGTAAACATCCACCATGGCATTTTTTTATTGCACCTCATATTTACCAGGTTGGTGTGACAGTTACACTCATTTTCTTCTCACTGTCCACATGCCTCTGAGATTTGCCTCGCTGAAGCCTTCCCTGTGAGGCACATCCTGCTGGCACATCCTGGAACTAGGGGGCTGAGTGCCACTCTCAGGATGTGGAGGCCTCTGTTGCAGCGATATCACCCTAGACAGCTCCTTTGGAGACAGCCAACTCCCGTCCCAGTTCTCACCCTCGCCTGCATTTCCCGGTTCTTGTCTCTTCACACTTAGCAGTCACCAAGTGCTTACCTGGTGCCAGGTCCTAAGTTAAAGCACTGCGAGTAAATTCTGAAAGATCCACCTGATTCGGCCTCATGACCTTTTTTAAGCTGAGCCTTGTGGAGAGCCTGGAAATCTTCCTTCTACTCCAAATGTTTATGGAGATGATAGTGTGTGTGTGTGTATTTTTCCTGAGGAGAAGATTTTTAAATTTTGGTCCTCTGTTGACCTTTTGTTGCCTAGGGAAGTTTAAACAGTTGCTTTAGGGGAACCCCGTTCGGCTTCTGAGCTTAGTGGCATTGCAGGGAGAAGCCTTAGACACCTGGCAGCCAAAGGTGACATCCTGAAGGATGCAAGGGACCTGGCTGCTCAGAGAGGGAAGAGCAGAACATGGGGTCAGGGGAAGGATAAAAGGACGCTCTGCTGTTCCGTAATGCACATGGCCCGCCACAAGTTTAATTATTTGTGTGATGTTCTCATCAATCCCTTTTTGTGGGAGGTAAGAGTTGGTGGAACACAGGGTGCCGGGGTCGGTTCTCTCAAGCATCAGGAACACAGAGGTCACTCCAGAAATGTAGGCAGCAAATCGCTGCCGCTTGATAATAATGGCCCCATGTTCATTTTTTTCAATTTGAAACCCGTATCTGTTAATAGTTCCTGCAATGCAGTCCACTTCGAGTCAGCACGATTTGACTCACTTCAAGAAGCAAAAATTGAACGTTCCTGGCCATACTTTTCATCCTTTCTGCAGAAAATTCAGCACGGTTATGGGTCAGGAGCCACTGAATGGCCCCTCAGTGTCCACCAGCCAGAGACCGAGGAGCTTTCAGAGCAGGAACACTGTGTTCTAAGAGAAAGTGATTCGCTTGCCTTGCCTGGGGCACTCTTGTCTACTGTTATTCCAGTGTTATTATTGATAGCACTGCATTCGGATGACAGTTTATAAGGTCACCTTTCCCTGTAAGCCACTCATTTTTCTTTGCTAAGCTTTCTCTCTTTGTGTCTCTCTTCTCCACTAAACTAATGGACTCCTTAACGCTGGAGATATTGTCTCATTTATCTCTGGGTCTAGCATGTGGCTGCCTTTGGCAGACACTTAATAAACATTTAGTAAATTAAACTGAAATTAGAAATAGGAAGAAGAACTGTAAAGTAGAAATGGCCAGAACCTGTTATTATCTTCCTGAGTTGTAGAGGTCTACACTGGAGGCCTAATTTTGAGTTACTTATGAGCTTTGTACCTTGGGAAACTTAGTAAATCTTTTCAACTAATTGGGAGAATATGTGCAAAGTGCTTGGTAAAGCACTTTTAAGTGCCCCATAAATTTTAGCTGCTAGCATTGTTATCGATAATAATTAGTTACTGCTAATAACTGTTATTATATGTAGTAACTTTCAACTTCAGTTTTCTTAACTAGAGAAAAAGACAATAATTTCTGCCTCTTTTATCTTAATCATGAACATGGAGATAATTTGGAGATAGAGCTCTCTTACAGCACAGGCCATGAAGAATGCACACTAACAGAGAGGTTTGCACAACAGAACAGAGCACCTTGGGCCGGCTATATGGGGCTCACCAGAGTGGAAATGTAAGAAAACTGTTCACTGTGTATTTTTACAAAGCAAGAAAATGATGAGATTGGGGACGGGGGAGAGAAGGGGATCTGCGCTAATATGTAGAGACAGAAAAGCATGCGGAACATAGGGTGGTTGGACACAGGACAGGGAGGGGCATTAAGATCTGGACCTGTCGTGCGGGTGGCAGGTGTGATGCGGGAACAGAGCTGTTCCAGCCTTGGCATCTGAAAAGCAACAGCGTGAGCTTGGGGGCTGAAGAGTACTCAGGTCAGGTCAGGGTGGACATTTTGCTTGCACCGTAAGTCCCGAGCTCGTCTTTCTGAGTTAACGTGAACATTTTATAAAACTTATACCAGATGTAGGTAGTGTCCTGGGTTGCCTTTCAGTTCCTGTGGTATTGCGAATAATAGGCAGTCATCTAATAATTATACATGAGAGCAGCCTTGAGCCACAGGTCAGGGAGCCTTTTCTGGTAATGTAGTCTTTATCAGATGAGACAGAGAAGCAAGTGGGTGTAAAGTCTTCTGTCCAGTTCCCTTGTTATCCGCTGTCCACACTATCCTTGGCTCTACTACCCGATGAACTAGGGGCTGGAATTTCAGGTCTCCACCAGGGAAGAGGGATCAACTGCAGCAGCAGGTGCTCCTGCAGCCCTTGAACGTGGGCATTCACTGAAAGCTCCCAGCAGCCCTGTAAGGTGAAGACATCACTATTCCCATTTTATGGATGACAAACTGAGGAACAAAGACGTCCCATAACTTAATGAAGTCACACACCAAGTGACAGAGCCAATATCTGTCCTTTTAACTGTGACATTCTATTGCTTCTCAGTTTTAGCCATTGTAATTAGCACAAGTATGAGTCATGATCAAAATATATGGTAACTATTTACCTTAAAAATTTATTTCAGTGAAAGTTATATTTCCCTTAATTCCCCTTGAAATACTCCCCTCACTTTAAACATACTTATCCCATTGTTCTTGCCAGCTTGTGATGCACTTCTGGATGTCCTCTTTGATGAGTGTCTTTACAAGGTGTGCTCAAAATTCAGTGAATGCTGCTGCCAAGTGCCATCCAAGAGAAAGGCAGGCTTGTAAGAACATGACAGTGTGTTCTTATCCACCTTATTCATGAGAACTGGCATTATGTGACTTCTGGCTTTTCCTCAGTGTCTAAGGGACCGTGAAAATCAAACATTTTGAATTGATTCAGAACATCAAGGCAGCCACGACAGCACATATAAGGACATTAATGACAGGAGTCCTAGAATTGCTTCAGAAAGGGGCAAAACAATGGGATGAGTATGTTGGAAACAAGGGGAAGTATTTTGAGGGGAACTCATAGTAATGTGTTCTTTTACAATAATTTAAAAAAGGTAAGCAATTATCAGAGTTTTCAACTTCACCTTGTGTATAGGACTTTGTGGGCTGCAGTGGGGGACTGAAGCCATAATCTTTGGGGAGTCATTTTCTATTTTGTCCCAGACTTTTCTTGGAAGGAAGGAGTTTGCCTGGATTATATGTGTAACAGAAGTGAGACTCTTACCTTGTTCAAATTTATATTCTCCAAGATAAAATAATATCTTTTCATGACACGCAGCAGGTGTTCAACAGTGTGAGGTAAAATAAGCCAAGTAGTCTCTTCATATTAAATTTGTCTTGTTACCGAACAAAGGAAGACTGTAGAAACCTATAATTCTACCTTAAACACCAAAAAGAAAGTTGGTTGTTACTCCTTTTCTGATCAAATTCTTTCACCAAACACTGTCTCCAACTCAAGGCCAGGCTGTGGTCCCTCCTGAGCATGCCACTGGTCCTAGCTGAGGGAATCATTCGATGACTGCATCAGCTGGCCTTTCTGTCACATGGCTTGCAGTCATGCCTATTAGGTTATGAATCAAATTCAGGCATTGGTGGCTGACAGACTTGGATTTGGACCTTAGCAGCAGAACTTCTCTAGCTATGTGGCCTTGGATGAGTGATTCCATTCAGTTGTTCTGAGCTCAGCCCCATTGTTGGTGAAATGAGGGCAATATTGTTTCACTTCGGGGATATTAAGGGCAGGGATGGTTGGAGGACTTACAGAAACCCCTATATCTGAACACATAGTGTAGTGCTTGACCCAGGGTAGTTGGCTGCTCGAGTTGTACAACTGACTTTCTTGGCTAAACTACTCTTTCTTGGAGGTCTGGGGTCAAGTTTGAAACTTCTCTGTTAGGGATCCTGTTGCTTTTTCCATCTCTCCTCACTCTCATCAGCTATTTTCCTCTGCCCCCAGTGCATTGCTCAAAACTTAGCGTTTGTTCATCTGTGGCAGTTGACCAATATCTGGAGTTATTGTGATTCTATTTCAGGAAATGTTTGGCTATCGGACTGTCGGCTGCCAGAAAGCCCTCTGTCTTGCTGGATCCATCTTGTCCTTGGGCGTCCTCCCTTTGGTGTTTTACTGGAGACCGGCGTGGTATGTTTGGGCAAACTGTGTCCCATGTTCCTTGCAAGAAGCAGATACTGTTTTACTGAGGACCACAGTAAGTGTACACCTGGTTTTGCAGCTGATGGCCCTTTTCCTGGACATTATGTGGTGGGGTGGCCTGGGGCAATGTGCACAAGACTGGTGGCTGGTGGTGGTCCTGTCTCAGGGTCTCTGTCACAGCCTTGCGTGATTCTACCAAGAATTTTATGATTTTTGTACGCTGGCATTTGTTTAAGAAGACCTATTCCACGGGATATTCCTCTTAACAGTGTGACTTTTTTGAATGTTAGAGCAGAGAATAACCGCGGCAGCAGCTAAAGGTAAGAAGTAGTGTAAAGTAGTTAAAAGTCAGGCTACAAGCTATGGAATTCACACTGACCCTCACCCCCGAGGCAGCTGCATCCATGTTCAGTCGCTCCACTGGTGACTTCAGAAGAAAGAGAGGGGGATTTGGGGTGGAGATGGGAGGATCCCCCCAAAGAAGATGCTGTCTCCTCTGCTGATTTGGGAGAGCCAGGGTTATGGGATGTGTTGCATTCTGAAGATATACTAGGATTAAAAAAAAAGTAGCCATCTGGTCCCCAAGGTCATTGCCTCTCTGCCAGATTGAACTGATTGGTGAGTTCCTCTGTACGTGTTCTCAGACCACCCAGACAACGTGTGCCATTTCTGCAGGCAGGTCAGGTCCACATGGGAAGTGACTTGCCAACTTAATTGCTATACCCCGAGTTCCAGGGGTTCCATTAATAAGAGGTGGGACTCCTCGGGCTGGCCTGGCTGTTTCTCCTGGAGTAAATGAAAGGGCAGGCTCATGCAGAATTCCTTTCTGTCTGACTGGCTCAGTGGTTCTGATGAGGTGTCAAATGATCTTGGCAGACATGACCTAGAGTGACAACCAAATTTTTGATAAATCAAACTCTGTTAGGAATTTAAAATTTTTTTTGTATGTATAGCAATCTTTATAGATAAACATTTACTTAATGCAGTAAGGGAGAAGGATAGCAGCAGGATTAGAGCTGGTAAGAAAAAAGGATATATTGCAATTTGAATTCTAACAAATTTCAGACTAACATTCAACCAAATTTGGAACTGTATGAAACTTGTCTTTGTCTTTTGTTACCACTTCGTATTGGCATACTCTTTTGCTTTTTCCCTTTGTAAAAGGTTGAATGATTTGACAGAGTCCTCAGCATAACAGTAAATGGCACAGTATTATAGAGATGAATGACTTCAAAACTTTATCTTAGTGTAGAGTCATTTCTCAGAAGCCAGCTCACAGAATCTCAGAGGTTTCTAGGTGAGTCTGAGGAAAATCCAGGTTGAAATGGGGAGTAGGAAAATGGGCTTTGGAAGAGGAAATGTATACCTAACCTGATACCATATTCTCTCGCTTTCTCATCTATGGCACTTAGTATTTTTTGAAATAAAATAGTAGTAGAAACCACAAAACTATTTATTACAGATTCTATTAAATTTAATTTATTTAATTGAATTAAATACATATTGAGCACCTATTATGGCCATGTGCTAGCTCCTGTAAAGAATGAAAAATAAACTACCAATCACTGCTTTAAAAATGTGTACAATCTCTAGAAGGAAAATGATAGGAAGGAATTAGTACCATGAGTGGAGAAAATGGAATATACCACAGAGAGGGGCAGAAGATTTGGGTTCAAATTCTTAGCCTACATGGTGTCCACTCCTGGGACCTGTCCCCATGTGCCTGTCCCCGCCAGCCACTGTCGCTTTTAACTCTTATCCTTTTGAAACTCAGGAAAGGCCTTCCTGATTTTATTGATGGCTATATTTCTGTTATATAGTCCTACCATAATCCTGAAACTTTCCTAAGTAACACTTTCAGTAGTTGGAATTTTATATTTATTTGTGTAGTGATCTTTTGAGCTTGATAGATCGTGCTTTCTTTGATCATTATATTCCCTCCTCATGCCCCTGCCCATGAGCTAGCACTGTGACTGGGATTCACCTGTGCCCATTGAGTTTATGAAGGAAAGGGAAATGTAAGGTGGGAAGTCCTGGCTCTGACATTCCCTAGGTGGTAAAATTACCTGACTCTGTGGTCATCCATAAAATGCAGATGATAATACACATCTTTCAGAGTTATTAGCAGGAAATCATGGATGATACTCTGTAACATAAACCACTAAGTGAAGAACATTTTAATACAAGGCAAACTGCCAAGCACTAAAGCAGTGAGAAATGAAAACAGAAAGCAAAAATTGAATGCAGAAAAGGGTTAACTTCCTCCAGAATGAGGGCAGGAAATGAATCAACAAAGACTTAATATAGAAGGTGATGCATGGCTGAAGAACAAGGAGGTTTTAGTAAAGCACCTATCTTCTGCATCACAGAGGCAGAGAGGGTGGGGGGACTCTTCACAAAAGTGTCACTTTATAAGGACAAGTATTTTATTGTCTTATTCATAGCTATATTTCCAGTGCCTGTAATAATGTCTGTTCTTGATTTGTACTCAGTAAATACTGATTGGATGAATAAATAAGTGAATGAATAAATAAGTCGATGAATAAATGAATGAATGAATGAATGAATAAACAGGAGAGAGGCTATCAGAAGGAACTTTGGGTGGAAGTACAGACGCACCCAAGTATCCTGCTGATGGCAGGGCATGGTCTGTGAGAGACCAAGTCCCAGGGTTAGTAGGGTCAGGAATCCAGTAAGCAGGGATTCTGCTGCCAGATGAGACTCCCCGTGGGCTGGCAGACTTCAGGGTGCCACCTACATGGCTGATTGCAGAATTTCTAAGTTCGTGAACTGAAGCCCCTAGCTCTGACATCTTTAATTGAAACCGAAAGGAAAATGCTGCCTGTTAAAACCTCACAGTGAAGCAGCTTGAGTCAAACTTCAGATCTCCTCGTCACAAAGTCATCCACACATCTCGAGTCTCTGACAGCATGTGACGCACAATGACCGTGAGAGAAAAAGAATGTGTTTGTAATTATCACTAAGATGAAAACCATGGAAATCATCAGGAGCATTTAATTCAAATCACCAATGAAGGTGAATCCCGTTGTTTGCGTAGAAATGTGGCACCACTACAGATATTGATGAAAATTCAGAAATAGATGAATCATGAATAAAATCCGACTTTAGCATGTATGCAATTTAAGAGTAATAATTACTCTCATCTTTTTGGTGAAGATAAAAAAAATCTTGTGCTTAGCACTGCTTGATGAGAAAAGGCAAACTGAAAATAAATGGAATACTAAAGATTTTCAGTAAGTAAATCATGGCCTTTAAAAAAAAGTGTTAGGAAATCACTACTTAATCAGTATCTATGCTAATGATCTGTAATTTTACCAGTATGAGATTGATGATAAATACCAAGTGCTGATTTTTTAATAACATGGAAAACAAATATATAATATATTTTCCAATGGGAGTCACCTAATCCTTCTTAATGGGAAGTTGTTACAGTCCAGTTATAATATAATTCAAATAAAATCTTTTTATGGTGTCATCTTAATGCAAATAACTTAGCAGCAGCCTTTTAAACTATTGATGCCCCAAGCTTATTTTTTATCCAAGTCTCAGATAGTAAGAATATTTGAAATAATTGAGTTCTTGTCTAATTACATAAAGACTCATTTAGAACCTCATCTATTTGGAGGGTCTCTGGCAGAGCAAACCACTAAAAATGACATATAAGAGCAGGTAATTAAAATTAAAGTTGAAATCAAGATGGAGAAGGCAAGATTGAAGCCGGTTGAGATTGCTCTAATTAGTCCTGGAGGGGCAGCAAAAGGTAGGAGGGTCCAATAGATTTTAAAGGATGCAAAGAAAGGAGGAGGATAGAGGGAGGCAGCTCTCAGAGTGTGCTTCTGTGATATTTTCTGGTATGTGTCCAATTGCAAAATTGACCTATACGCAACTAGGAGAGATCATCTTACAGGGCTGCGTTGGCTTCCCTCATTTCTGTGGTCCCAGAAGGGCACGGCAGGCCTTCTGGGTGACACAGGTGGGGGCACATAACCCAGATGATAAGGGCATTAGTCTTAGACTTGCCTTGGATATAGCAAGTGCTTTTGCATAGAAAACTTTTGGTGCCGTGTGAGCAGTAATACACACATGCGCACACTCTTAAAGTGGCTTTTGAGAATCCATCTCAGTGTGCATATGGTCCTTACATACACAATCTCACCTCATCCTCATAGCCAACCCAGGAAGCAACAAGTACTTTACTACCCCTATTTTACAAGTGAAGTATTTCCAAGTCCAGAAAAGTTAAAGAACACACTTAAAGTGTAAGGATCAGAAGTTTTAAAAAAGTGGCTCCAAATATCAAAATGTACTACGTCAGTGTGTTGACACCACTCTTAGATTTTTTTCTTTTTCTTTTCTTCCTCTTCCTGTCCCCTGGCTCACCCCCTATTTATTTCATTTCCTCCTTCCGGCTCCCATTTCCCTTTCCGTGCCCATTTCCTCTCCTTCCTATCCATGGCTCCACTCTGTCAGCAGCCTTAGAGCTGAAGAGTCTGGCTCTGCCCTCCAAAAGGTGGGGCCTTCTCTGTCTTCAAGGTCCTGCTTCTACTGCAGCAAGAACGTAGCCGTCAGAGCACTAGTGGAGAACAGCTGGAAGCACCTGCAAAGTGTAGTTCCACTCTTCATTCTGGAAAGCAAGACCCTCATGGTCCTTAGGTTTACATGAAGGGTTTGCTTGATGAAAAGATCCCCAAACTATGGTCTTTTGCGAACACTTCTGCTGCCGTTCTGAGCTCCAGAAACAAACCTTTGTCATCCCACCAAGGCAGACACTTAGGCTGTGTGTGGTAGGGCCACCAATGACGCTTGGCTCAATCTCAATTATTCCTGTCAAGACTATGTAAATAAGTATTAATAGGATCCAGCCACTAATAATATAGGAGTTACAGCTATTTGCAGCTGTTTTTCTCAACATGTGCTCCCTAACCAGAAAGGAATAACAGGAAATGAGCTTAAAGGCCAATAAGTATATACATTCACCTTTGGTTTAGTGATACCACAAGATATAATAAGATGTAAGTGTGAATGTGAATTTCAGCTTTCAGTACTCACCTGGACTAAGACATTGCAGCTGGTGCACTGGATTAACAATGAAATTTGCGAATTTGGAGTAGCAGGGGTCCACTTTGCACTTTCCTTTATAGGCATGACAGTCTGGAGGCCGCTAGCTGTCCCCCTGGGCCAGATGCTGGGTGACAGCTTGATTTTGGGCTGTGCTCGATTCTGTACTGCCAAGTGAGAAGAGATTGTGTGAAACTGGATGTTATTTGTTACACAGAGAAGATTCCAAGGTGATGTTCACATACAAGCCACAGATGCCATGGGAGAGCTTGTTGAAACAAAGAGGAAGCAGCCAAGATCAGACATGGGGTGATCTGGACTTAGGTCCTAGTCTACCCCTCCTACAAACATCAGATGGGCTGGAATAATTCTCAGCCTTTCTCATAGTGAGTTTTCTCATCTGCAAAACAGATGATGCTACTGACTTTGGAGAATCGGGATCCTAAAATGGGATAATGGCTAACATAGGATTTTAGAAACTGCTACTAATCACCAGATGAAACTTAGCAGTTGATAATACTTTCATTCATTTATTAAGAGTACCGTCTCCCTAACGGTCCTTACTTGGTGGCCGTCTTACAGTTTGTGTTCGTATTCACCTACAATATGTGCATTATCACCACATTTTTAAAGTGAAACTTTGTTCTTTGGCAGTACCAATTCAGGGTGGGTATGAAAATGGCAGTGCTATAAATTTTTTTTTTTTTAAGCCAAATGTAGAATAGAGGGTTACAGAGGACTCTGGAGGGAGCAAACAGGGATGGGAGTGGACAGTCAAATTCCTGCTGTAGTAGTTACTGGGTCATCATTTCATCCTCCATAAAATGGTAGGATAATCAAAATAATAATCTCATGGTGCTTTTGAGTCTTAAGTGAAATAATACATGGGTAACATGCTATATGTGGGGTGTGGGATGCAGTGACTGCTAAATATTTTTATTACTGTTGTAATTATAAATTCAAATTCTCCTCATAGCAAAGCCCCCATTGATGAGACCAAAGGCAGAGGCATGTAACACTCAGCTATGTCAAGGTGTGCTCTAGAATTGGCAGCCTACTCTACTGTACCTAGCACACGGCCACTCAGCCCGTGGTTTGGTTATTCGAAATTTGGCCATTTTGAGTCACTTTTACATCTGAAAATAACTCCATGCAAGTTTCATTGGATTTGATTTAGTCGTCTTTCTCCCCTCACAGGGTAATAACCAATTTCAAATTTCTTAAATTTAATTCATTATCTTTCAAGTTTCTTGTTTCTCCTCTCTCTCTCCCATGCTCCCCATTTCTTTGCTTTGCTTTTCTCTCGCCCACCCCGCTCTCCCTTCTTCCACCCCTCCCTTCCTTCCTCTCTCTCTCTCTCCCTCCTTCCCTCTCTGTATCTGTGCTGGGCCTGAGTGGAGCACAGAGCTGCCCCGGTTACAGTCCTTACCCATAGTCCCAGAGGAGTGGTAAGACACACAGACAAGGGAAAGTGTGGTAGGACATCTGACAGCTTGGTTTGTAAGAGACATCGCGCTGAGAAATTAAAGCGGTTCCCAGGATGTGGATGATCAGGATTTAGCCACTTAAAGACTTAGTGATAGAGGAGAAATATAACCCAGCCTGGCAGATGTCAGATGTGCTGAGTTTGTGTCTCCTGAATGCTGAAGAATGGATTTCAAGGGACAGTGGAAGTTAAGAGTAGGAAAGGTTTATAGAGAGATAGCTTCCGAGAGACAGGAAGAGTCTCCCAAGTGGGCTGCCACCAAGGGCTTTGTCAGAGGTAATTTATTCAGCAAAGTCACAATGTGGGTACAGTGTGGGTCAAACTCTCAGCCTATAGGATTACAAGTATAGCCGCTTAGCTCACATGGATCCAGTAGGGAATGTGTCCAGCAGCAAGGGTACACGGAAAGAACAAAGGCATTTTAGGGGTGGGTCCAGTTGCTCCGAAACCCACCTCAGAAACTGATCTCTACCCGGATTTCCTGGGCCAAGTGCTGCTAATTACAGCATAATTCCAAGTTACTGCTTATCCCTTAGCAAAGGGCAGCCTGGCCATTGCATCACTATTCTGAGGCCTGGGTTTCTCTTCAGACAGTCACAAATCTGATGTCTTTAATTTTTGTGCTGACTACCTCAAGAGCCCAGTCCCTCTTTGTGTATTAATTTCCATCGAATTTCTAGCTGCCTATAATATTAGGAGAGGGGAGAAGGAGTGTATTTCAGGATATGTAAGTGGCAGGAGCTGCTCTCCAGGAGGGTTAGCAGAAGAGATTTAGTATAACGGTTGCATTTTCTCTTGTTTACCTTTTGCAGAGTTGGTTCAGATACTCCTCAAAGCAAAAGGGGTCATGGGGTTGAGATAATTCCCAGCTCAGACCTGCATTTCCCAAGCACTAACTTCCTGGGCTTAACTTCTCGACTTCCTGATTAGCTCCTGATGTCACCAGACATCCAAGTAGCTTGTCTATTTAGTCTATGTCCACTCAGATAATAATACTGGTATTAGATTAGTTTTTAAGGGATCATTGGGTACCTGGCAACCATTCCTTCCTGCTCCTTCCAGCTTTATTTGGTAATAAAGCTCTCAGTGAACCACAAAGGGAAATAATTTCAATTAGGATCATTCATAAGGCGCCCGCCTTCTTCAGTACTAGCTTTGCTAAAGTCCTGACAGTCCCCTTTGAACACATTCAGTCTATGTGGCCAGTGTTTCTCATCCATTCATTTTACTCTCATCCAGTGGGACTTGGTGCTCTGTAACTAGGGGAAGATAAGGAACAATAAAACACGGTCTCTACCTTCAAGGTGATCTAACACTGTGAGAAAACAGAAACTATTAGGAGCACAAGCAAGGAATGGTTGAATTAATGCACCTGTCACTTTTTAAAAATATTTTTCTTTTGTCCCAGTGGGAGCGTGTTAAAGGAGCTGTCCTAGAAGAGGTGGTGGCATTTGAGATGTCTCAAATGACAGAGAAAATTTCATTGACTTGACTTCCTCACCTTCAGAGATACGCCGAAACCCTTAGAATGCTGGCTTTTTTTCTGCCTGTGAAATTTTGCTTCTGACTGTAGCCTCGTAGGATGGACAGCAATGGAAGAAATTAGCTCTTAGTTGAGTTGCTACCTCGCACTCTCCGGCTTTGCTTATGTGTTGGTGTCCCTTTTCACGTCCGGGTTCCTTAACACATGGTGATAAGACTTTGCCCCCAAAAAGCCTATAGGAGCCGCCATATTTCGATAGCATAGTCTGTCTGGAATATTTACTAACTCCACAAACTCACAGAATTACAATAAAATGATGTTTTCTGGGTTGAGTTTTAGCCTAGTGATTTCGCTTAACCTCATGGGGTTTTGGTGTCTGTTTCTTCAGGATGAATTCCAGACTTACTCTTGGAAAAAGGTAACATGGGTCCACCTATCAACTTTAAGCAGCACATTTGGGCTCACTCCTGGACACCCCCTCATTACGGATGAGGACTCTATCATAAACAGAGCCATCCAGAAGCCAGACCTAAAGGTAAGCATTACAGCTATGGCTGAGGCCAGAGAAGTGTAACACCCACCCCTTTCCTTCCTCTGATTTCCACTTTGCCTGTCTCTATCGACAGTGGGGAAAACCATAAAGGACATGAAATTTGGAGTCAGATAGACCATGCTTCAAAACAGTGCTACCTTGGGTAGTTGTCTTACATCAGCGAGGCCTCAGTTTTCTCATTTATAAAATGATAATAAAGGCTATCTCTAATATTAGTTTATTAAACTCAATAAACTAAAGAATGCAAAACCAGTACAGTGCCAGGTACCTAATGGGTACCCAATACCTGTTAGTTCTCAATGGCATTGCTCTCTGTATGCACAGCAGAGTTAATCCAAAAGTGAAGTTATCATTCTGGACTTTCCCATGGCATTTTCCTATGTCTACAAAATGATCTTATTTCCAATTTTGTCATTCAAATTCATGCGGGTTACTCCCTTTTGGACACATTGAATTAGTAGCTCTTGGATTGTGACTGCTAACATTCATATTAAAAACACATTTTACAGGAAAAATTGTTTTTCTTTTACTTTTATACATGTAGACAGCTGTTTAGTTTTATGAGGTCAAGGTCAAGTTTTCTAAAGAATGGAAGTCAGTTCCTGAACAGTCTCTCTATTGTCACTTAATATCACCCAGTTGTCACTGCTGCCAAAAGATGCAAAGACGAAAGAGGTCAAACTTCTTCAGGGAGCAGCCTGCCTCGTCTACTAGGATGTCATTCTCCAAGATTTTATTGCCCTAAAATTCCAGCATATATAATTGTTTCAAATAAATAATTACAGGGCTGGGGATTTAGCTCAGTGGTTCCAGTGCCTGCCTTGAAAGTGCAAGGGCCCGAGTTCGATCCTCAGTACAAAAAAACCCCCCAAAAACAAAAAATAAAAAACCAAGACAAATGAAGAAATTTTATGAAAAGTGGAAAAAAATGGAAACAAAGTCTTTGTAAATAGGGAAGGCAGAGGAGATGAAGGGATGGCAGGGGAATGGGGAAAAATAAGAACCAAGATACATCATGTAAAGGTACAAGATCCTAATGATGAATGTAACTATACTGTATACCTAAAGAGTACCAACAAACTTAATGGAAAAAAAGTGGAAAGCATATAGCAGCATAATTTATAATAGCTAAATCTTGGAAGCAGCCTACATGTCCATTAACAGAAGAATGGATAAAGAAAATGTGATATTTATGCACAATGGAGTGCTACTCTGCCATAAAGAAGGGTAAATTTGAGTCATTTGTAGGAAAATAGATAGACCTTGAGATATTAATGTTGAAGGAAATAAAGTGGATATACAAATTCAAATATCACATGGTGTCTCTCATACAAGAAGTCCAAAGCATAAATAAATTAAAGAGCAAAATAAAAGATAGGCAATAGGAGTCAGAGAGATATATCTTTAAAAGGGGACCAAGAGGTGGAGGAAGGGGGAGAAAGAAGAGATGAAGAGAAGATTTGAAGATGTATTATATACATGTACTAGCTTCCTGGAATGGAAGTAATCATTACGTACTGTAAGCCTATACTAATAAAAGTAAAAAAGAAAGAATGTGAGGGAGGAATTGAAATGGAAAGTTTTGATACCCAGTCTTGATGCCTTTTCATTTACCAGGGAGTTCGGTGGTTTACCATCTCCCAGACTCTTGAGCTGGTTATAATCTCTTCTCTGCCTGTGTCTCAGGATTGTTGTGAGTGGAAAATGTGATATTAAGGTGATTTGTGAACTGCAGTGAACCACATTCGTACTAAGGTTTGAGGATTTCGATAAAAGCAGAGGCAACGAGGACCCGAGTTCAATCCCTGGTACCAAAAACGAAACAAAAAAATGTAACCTAAAAGCAGAGGAGAAGTCATAGCCTCAGTCATGGTGACACTGATGGGAATAATAATAAGAAGAATCCCAAGATGATAACTATTTGGGGCCTTTTATGGGAATTTGGAGGCTAAAATCAAAAATTATGAAATCAAGCCTATCAAATGCAGGCTAAGAGGAGGCTCTAAGGACCATTTTGTAGAATGGCTTGCAAAACTGAAACCCAAGGCTGCATCAGGTAGCAGGATGCTCTTGCAGGTCCCAGCAAGAAATGAAGACCGACAAGCCCAGGAAAGGACGTCTTCCTGATTACTTAGCTGAAAAGTCAAGTGCACCCTCAGACCCGCTGGCAGGTACTCGATTTCCCAGTTACCACTTCCTGGCCTGAAGTTCCTAGAAATGGGCAAGTAAACTCCACTCCTTGCAAATATTATGCTCGACAATTGTAGAGGCTCTGCAGGTGATGTGGGAAGTGGATAAACTTTAGGCAGAGATGTTTTCTACTGGGGAAATCTCAAAGATGATTAAAAGATCTACAGTGGAGAGTTATCAGAAGAGGATGGGAGCTTCCATTTTCTGGCTGGAAGTAAAACTTAGCAGCATTCCTAATTTATGAGACTATAGTCTTCATTGATGGTGACTTCATCTGTGGATGTTTTGTGACTGTTATGTACCATACATTTCCCAGTCTGTCTGTGGTGTCACAGCCTCTTGATGTAGGCTTTCTAGTCGAGGCAGGGAGCCTCACCTGTATTCTCCCACAGTTTGTCCTTTAAAATTTTTCTAACATAGATTCAAATTTATAGAACTCAGAAAGTAGGCAATGCCCACTTTATCCATCTTGGATCCCAAACTTAAGAGAGTTTTCAGATTTTCTTTTGAGACTACCTTGAGTCTGACATTCTTGGAGAGAATGGGGTGGAACTAAGATTCCAGCCTTGTGAGAGATGCAATCAAAATGAACTCCAGATGCAAAGTGAAGACGGAAATATGGCTGTACCATAGGAGGATGGAAAAGACTAATGATTGTGTGCAATTAGCTCTACAACACTCAGCAAATAGTAGCTATGATTAGTGGCATTATTTACAAAAGTGCAAGGAATACGGAAAAGGAAATTAAGTTGTAAGGCAAGGAACTTGAGGTTACAACATGAGCCATGATGACTAACACGCTCCAGGGCTGGTCACTTTCAAATGCTCTTTCCTGCCTCTAATTCACAGCTTACAAAGGAAGTGTCATTACCATGCGCTGGAAATGTCATACTGAAAATCCCCTGGAAATAGGATACGTTCTTAAATAATTTATTTTGCAACCAATCTCATTGAAATTAAAAAATACAGCACTTAATATTCTTACCCAGTAACTATTGAATGTGTGTGTGCACATGCACATCTGACATATTTGTTGAGTAGAATTAAGATTCTAGGTTTTGTGACAGCGATTTAAAGCATTGTTTCTAGCCAACATGGGGTTTTACAAAGCGTTCACTTATTTATTAAATCAAAAAATGTAGTGAATACTTCTTATGTACCAGCTATATGCTCTTTGCAGTTTTAGAATTTATCTCATAGTTATATAATTTTATAATATACTATAAGCTTATAACATCTAAAGGAGCCAAAGTAGAATTTAGCCACTGTCTGGCCAATTATTCAATTTATTCATGGGACAACTGAGGTGTAGGGATATTTCATAGAAGTTCTCAAGCACTCAAGAAGTAGAGTAGCTGTAGCGGGAAATCTTTTACATGGTTCCTCAGCTTTAGCCACCATTACAATTACCTAGGAAAATATTACAATATTGTGGCCCAGGGTGCACCACAGATAAATGGAATTAGAATCTCTTGGTACTGGCATCCAGGCATCTGTGTTTTCTTAAGCTGCTCAGATGCCCCTAATGAGGAGCCCAAGACTCTAACCATTGCTTCACAGCCATACGGAAGTCTTAGTGCTGCTCTCAGTGCTTTCTGAGGTCACCAGTTCTTGGAAATTCAGATTCACACCGAAGATTGCTTACAGAAATCAGAAGGAATAAGGCACAACTGTCATGAGCATCAATCCCCCCTTTTCTTTCCGCTGACAACCCTTTCAGAGCCTCACTTCCTGGTGCACATTTTCTTGCACATAACCTTTTCCCTCCTTAGTATCAGCTGCCAGCCTAATCCTTTCTGGTGTTTCTTCTGTAGGGTTCTACACAAGTCTATTGCTTGTGAGATAAAGTCCCAAAGGCCTTATTCTAGCATTTATGTCTACTCATAATCTAGTCTTTATTTATATTTCCACTTCATTATTCACTTTGCAACCAAACAGGCCTACTCTCTTGCTACCTTGCTCTCCACTAATTTGTTCAGAACTTCTTTGAAATCTCTCTTCCCTCCATATCTGAGCAAATTCTCCCAACCCTTCACTGCTGCAGTTTCAAATATGGTCTCTTCCATAGTTCTTTTGTCATCTGCCCTTGCTTTATTTCTACAGCATTTTATGTGTAGGTCTTTTTAGTTTATTATATGTTTATTTGATGACATATACATATTGGGCTCTGTGGCATACTTTTCTGAAATGTATTTTTCTTCTTTATTAGGCTATATGATAGTAGAATACAGAGATTAAATTCATTTAGTCATATATTTATCTATGTAGTAAAGCCCTTGATTCCTGTTTACTGGATGGTGATTTCTAGTAAGGTTGCCATTTGGGTAGTAGGAAATAATAGGATAAGGTAGGAAAAGATGATTTTTAAATAAGGGTTCTCTCTTCACTTCTTTCACAAATGCTTCTTTGACCACTCAGTTGCTGTTTGATCTCCAATCTTCAAACTAGAGATTTTCTTAGTACTTTTCTTTTCCAGGTGAGATGCATAAAAGTGCAGAAAATAAGATATGTTTGGAATAATTTAGAAGGACAGTTCCAAAAAATTGGGTAAGTGGTTTTAGAAGGTGCATCTAAAGAAGAAAGATGTTCACTCGAAAACACTATTGCTAAATGCATCTCTCTCATTATTATTTTAGCTCTCTGGAAGACTGGCTCAGTTCTGCCAAGATACATCTAAAATTTGGATCAGGTCTAACAAGAGAAGAACAAGAGATTAGGTATTATGCATATTGTTGTCTATATTAGCTCAAAAGGATTGTTACCAGTCAAATATAAAGCCTGGGGAGTAGTTATCTTAGTTGATTGATATCAAAAAGTGCCACAGTGTTCTAGTTGGCATTATTAAATTAAGTGCGTTCACATCCATTATCTCACACATCTTCAGAGCCACCTTGTTGGGGAGACAGAAAAGACGTCATGAGCCTCTGGACATAACAGGTGCAATGTATGAGGCTCTGAGAGGTTTAATGGCTTGAGCAAGGTCACACAGAAAGCGACAGACTGCAGGTTTAGTGTTCTTCCTTTACACAACGCTTCTAACGGTTATTATAATAATAGGGACAAGCCTGTTCTGATTATAATCAGGAAATACACCGACATCACAACGCGACTACGCAAGACGTGCGTTGCTCCACGGTTCCAGATCAATTACTAGGTCACGGGAAATGTTCAGGGAGAGCACGGGAATGTCAGGAGTCTGTGTGGTTTTTAGTAACTGTCTTCTCTGCCCTGAGCCTTAGTTTTCCAGTGGAAAAAAGGGAGAAGGACTGTAAAAAGGCCTCTCTGGGTTTTAAGTTTCGTGCGCTTTTGCCACCTCATCTCTAGCACTTCGAAGAGACCTAGGGTCAAGCCGCATCACAGTCTTGGGCAGCTTGTTAGAAAGAAAAATAGGATCTTAGACCTGCAGGATCTGATCCTGCTCTTCATCTTAATGAGGCCATCCAATTTATTATTATTCTTCTTGTTAGCACCATGCTCCGACCAACTGAGCTAACCGGCCTACTAGGCCATCCAAGGTAAATTAAAAGTTCGAGGAGCCCTTCTCTAACACATTCTGCAAAGCTCTTTGATCTGGTTGTCTAGGTGAAAGGCACAGAGAAAGTGGTTTGTTCTAGGCAGCCAAATAACTCCTACAGAGCAATTCCTCCTCATGATCAAAGGAGCACATCTCTGGGTCTTCCGTTAGAGGGAAATATGATTCTGCAGACTGACCTATTTCGGAGAGCGCAGGACTTTTCCACTCACATTGGAACAAATTATGCAGCCTCCTAGAACTTCTGAGAAAGGAAAGGAAATAGGTACAGTGTCTGCTTATCAGTAAAACTGTTCCCTTTTAATGACTTCCCATGGAACCAGAGTTGGGGGCAGCATTTCAAATATATCAATACTGGCATTATCTGAATGAGATAAGGGTACTATTAAATATCCAAATTATCATTTAGGAAAATGTTTAGACCCAGGGAGGTGTTAACTAGCAGAAGAGCCCAGTTGCTTTGAGAAGGACAGGAATGTTATATAACCAAGGAAATGTATCTGGGAAAGAGAAGAGGGAGCAGGGAACAGATTTTTTTCTGAATGGGCAGGAAACGAGTTCATTTTCATTGTTAGTGACTGCGATCTCTCCCGGTAGGAGGCTAATATGTGGGCCTAATACTATTGATGTTGAAATCACACCTATTTGGAAGCTGCTCAGCAAGGAGGTAATTTCTCCAGTATCTTCTCTTGGTATTGGATGGAAAATAAAAAGTTTAGTTCTAACCAAACAATCAGTAATGCAACTTGTTAATAAGTAATGGGAGATACTTTAAAAGAATGCCTGATGTAGTATTTTTCCTATATCTCATCTAGTCTTTTTCTTTGTTTCTCTTTTATACACTGCTGGATATAATACAGGGTCTAATGCTCATGTGTATACTTATTATTTGATGACTACATGGATGCCACGGTTCTTTTCTTCTTCTTTAATGCTACGCTGCTTAGCCAATTCCAACTTCTTTTTTGGTACCAGGGATCAAACTCAGGTCCTTGTGCTTACAAGGCAGGCAGCAGAATGACTGAGCTACATCCCCAGCCCCTCAATTCCAACTTTGAAAATAATATAGTCATTTCTTTTCCTTTTTGTTCTTTTCTTCCTCCCTCTCTTTTTTTTTAGAAAGCCAATTTTTAGGGGATGAAGGAAGGGCAGGGACAAGGGAAAAAAATGAGAGCCAAGACCTGTCACTCTCATGTAAAGGTACAAGATCCCAATAATGAATGGAACTGTACTGTATACCTAAGATGTACCAATAAACTCAATGAGGAAAAAAAGAAAGCCAATTTTTAAGGCAACATATGCAATTTCCCCCACCTGCAAAATTGTAGGGAGAAAAGTACCATCTGTTCAGCCTTATAAGGTTCACCTATGTTGTTCTAGATGCTCGATTGCTGATTGCTACTTTCCTCTCAATTCTCTGTGGGAAAATGTCAACTAGCTCATTAACATAAAGTTTCCCACTGACCACCTACAGCAGCTCTTTCATCCTAGGGAAAAGTAACAGACCAGAAAGTGTTTTAAAATTAATGAATGTGAACTAACATTTCACTCTTTTGAAGTCCAGTAGCTGTAAATGGGAAATAATATCAGCTCCTCACACAATATGGTGGTCAACATGTCGAAACATGGGTGCTTCTTTGCAAATTTGCGATTATGATTAAGAGCCATGGCCCTTGGGTCAGACTGCCTCGCTTTTTGTCTTGGCTCTGTGACAGTTACAGGTGTTTGACCTCAGGCCAGTTTCTCAAGATCTAAGGCTCAATTTCTTCATCTTTACAGTGGAGATAAGCACTAATTTCTGGTTACTAAGGTAATTATGGGAATGAAATGAGCAAATTCAGGTAAAGTTGCTTAGTGCAGTGTCTGGTACATGGCAGTTGCTGAGTAAAGAAATAATGAAGAGAATAGCATTTTGGGTGGGATGATTTACCTCATAGAAATGGCTATGGAAACAAGTCAATGAATAGTCATGTGTGAAGCCTAAATATCTCCCTTCTGTTTTTGCGTCTGCCAACAGGTTCTAAATCCCTTTTACATATTTCAACTCTTCAGTGTCTGCTTGTGGTTTAGTGAAGACTACAAGGAATATGCTCTTGCCATCATACTTATGTCCATCATTTCTATATCTTTGACCGTGTATGACCTCAGACAGGTAAGTTCCCTCACTAATCATGACAGTTGTCAGTGACTTCATTGAAATTTTCATAGAAAGGAGAATTATGATCTTGTCGTTGCCCAGTGCATGATAAAATAAAACCATGCTTGTAATTATTGAACACAGTAGTCAGTGCTCAACAAGTTAGTCCTTTCCCTTCCCTCACATCCCAAACCCGAGGTCTTTTAGGGTACTTTTGTCCCTGCTGGAAGGTGGAGGAGTCTGTTTGGTATGCACTCCTTTGCCTTTTGTGTTTGGCTGGTACTTGCCGATCAAATCTCTGATTCAACTCTTGACTTTTTATTGGGAGAAAAATCCCATAAACAAATTGGCTGATGGAATCTGTGAGTGCTGACTTCGCTGGGGAAGCTTGGTATACATCTCTGATCAAAGTGCTTGCCCATTCCCGGAGATTTAGGTTTCAAATAGTGCCTTTCTTCTGGTTTCTGAGAAGCCCATCTTTCTGTATTCTACTTTCCTCCCGTTTAGCACATAATCTAGCCATTTATTTCATAAAAGCAGTATAAGCCATAAGACAGGAGTTTGTTCAGCTCCCCTCTCCAGTTGCCAAATGACCAACTCTCCAGCCTGTCAGGCGCATCTTCTCATCGCAGGGGAGGAGGTCCCGCTGTCCATGCCCAAGGCACCATCCTCTCCTATCTGCCCAGGGTGAGCATTATGCAGCAGGTAATGACTTCTTTCTCTCTCTTCCCAAGATGCACTCCAACAAGGGTCACCGCTCTCAAGCACCTTCCAACGTACAAACCAAGTTCAACGAGGCGATCTTTTCCTTGACACATCTCGTCCTTCGGCTGCTGTAGCAGCTCTCTTCTTCCTTCTTGCATCTTTATGCCCACTCTTGTTCTTTATTTTCTTCTCTTTCATTGGCTGACCTGATTTCTTCTCTCAGGTCTCCATTTAAACCACTCTTGTTGCAGTTATCACTACAACCCTAAAGCCTATTGTTTTAAAAGTTAAAAAAAAAAATCTGTTTTCATTAGCAAGTTTTCCTCTCTGAATTGTATGGCTGTGAAGAAACCTGCCTCAAATGTGTCAGCTGCACCACTTGAACCTTAGAGAGAACTGCAGATTACATATATGCATATTGAATATTTAGAATTAACTTCTCTGGAAACCTGTGTAATTGATGTAAAAAAGTGTATTGTAACTTTTCAGCTGAGACTGTTGATGCCATTATCATGATTTTAGAATAAATTCTAAGTGAAAGCCAAAAAATAGAGGCATATTATATATATGTGTATATATATATATTATATAATATATACAGTATAATAGAGAAAAATTAAGCCAGATACTTAGCATCTTATTTACCAGTGAAGTCAGCTGATATCTGCTTGATTGGAGAAAGGAACTATAGTTTAATATTTTGGCCTTGGTGAGGAATCCATATCCTACAACTGAAGAGTAATAACAAATGCTACTCACCATTCACAATCTTGTTCTCACTGGAAATAAGAACCAGTCAGTCTTGAGCCTCCTGTCAAAGAAAGCCTGAAAGACAGAAGAGAGACAATAAATATAAAGTATACCATCTCATTTTGGCATCAGGCAGCAATTAAGCATTTTCCTCCTTCTGTTCCAGCTGATGACTCCAGATGATATCCCCTGCCTTTGTGTTCCCAAATTACGTTAAATTCAACACATGCAACATAGACTTAAGAACTTCTCTCCAGATCTCTCTTTTGGTTTGCCTGATTGGGTAAAAACACAACACTGGCCATTCATTTGTTCAAGCTAGAAATCAGGTTATCATCCTTGAAATTTACTTTTCCTTCTTTTTTTGGGTACTGGGCATCAAACTAAGGACCTTGCACTTATAAGGCAGGCACGGTGCCACTGAGCTAAATCTCCAGCCCTCTTTTCCTTCTTTCTTAGTCATGCAACAAGTTCTAAAGATTGTTCCTCCTAAATGTATCTTGGTATCATTTATTTTTTCCCACCCTACCGCTACTGTGGTTTAAGTTAACATTATTGTATCTCCTGTCTAGCAATCAGTTCGCAACCTGTTCTGTTAATCATTCTTAGGACATATTTATTAGATTTGCAAATAATTTGAAACCAAGAGATTTAGAGAACATCTTAAATGACAGAAGTCAGAAATTTTAAAAAATGAACACATTAAATGAGAATTTTAACCCCTCAGAACCTGGCAGGGGGCTTGGAATGTAGCTCAGTGGCTCTGCTGCTTGCTTCATAAGCACAAGGTTCGGAGTTTGATCCTCAGTACCAAAAAAAAAAAAAAAAAAAAAAAAAAAAAAAATGGGGCAGGAGGTTGTTCACACAGTAGTTTCTCCATAAATGTGAAATCAAATATAGTTTTATTATATATTTCTTTTGTCTTCACTATTAACTCATTCTCAGTGACCCATGTATTTTACATATTAGAACCAAAAAATGAGACAAGGGTATAGTGAGAACCACCAAATTCCTTAAAAAGTTATAGATTGGGAACTTTGATATGGAAGAACCCAAAGAGAAATAACTTTTGTTCCCCAAGCTGTTAGGTTTAAACACATATTAAACGTTCTTGATGTTATCTGCGTACTTAAAGAACCGTATGCAGATTTGTGGTTTTCATTTTGAGTGGAAAGAGCATGCTGGGAAATACCTTTCTGCCAAAGGACGCACACTTGTTACTCCTGAGGAAAAAGCCTTTTCAGTTGCTTGCTAGGCTATTCAGTCTTTGTTTTTAGCCAGTGCATTCATCTTCACAGAAGGACAACACCTTACAGAGCAGTTCCTGGGACTATACTCAAGCAAATAAACATTTTCTGTGTTCCTTTCTTTTTCAGCAATCTGTAAAACTCCACCGTCTAGTTGAAGCACATAATAGCATTACAGTCTCTGTATGTGAGAGAAAATGTAAGTTCCATTATTTTAGATCTATGTTTTATCCATATACAATCAGAAAATGACTTGAGTTTGTGTTTCTGATTTCTGGTTGTTCCTTCTGCTCCTTTCTTCACTGCATCTTGTACATTTGTTTATATGGAAGAAGAACTTGAGATCCTTTCACTTTAAGGGGGAAAACCCTTACTGTACTGAGGTGGAATCAATATATAAAAAGTATACACAGTTATAGCGTACAATTTGACCTTACTTGACCTGCACCCATAAAATCCTCACCACCACTGAGATAATAACATCTATTGTCCCCCCCAATTGCTCTGCACCTGTCTGCAGTCTTCCCTACTCCTTTTCCCTCCCCATTCCCAGGCGGTCGTTTGCTTTCTGTTCATAATCCGTAGATAAACTCCTGTGTTTACAATTGCATAAAAATGCTACTTCCCACTGCATATTTTTGTCTTTATTTTGAATATTTTGGGTTAATTAGAGGGGATCAGAGTTGTAATGATTTTGAGATTCATTGATTTTGTTAAATGGATCAACCGTTCATTCCTTTTTATTCCTGAGAGTATCCTGATTGCATGGACCTGCCAGCTTGTGCTCCATTCGCCTGTTGACAGATATTTGTGTTGTTTCTAGTTTTTGTCTATTACAAATAATGCTGCTATGTACATTTGAGCACAGGTCTTTCTATGGCCATGCATATTTTTTAAGAAAACACTTACCTGAGAAATGGTGGGTATGTTTAACGCTTACGAAATTTAACTCTTCAGAAGCTGCCGAACTGTTTTCCAAAGGGGTTTTGCCAAGTTACATTCTCACCAGTGGTGAATGAGAATTTCAGTTGTTTGACATTCTTGCCAACCTTTGGTAGATCACTCTTTTTAATTTTAGCCACTTTCATGTGGAAGTATCTCATTATCATTCAAATTTGCATTTCCTTAATGATTAAAGTCCCAAACATCTCTTCATTTGTTTGACACTTATATTTCATTGTTTGGATGAAACTTCTATTCAAATCTTTTGTTCATTACATTGCTTTCTTATTGTTAAATTTGAGTTCTTTTTGTATTCTGGCTACAAGTCCTTCATGAAATATATGATTTGCAAATATTTTCTCAGTCTGTGACATCACTTCATTGTATATACAACATCTTTCAAAGGACACATGTTTTTACTTTTAGTAAAGTCCAGGTTATTAGCTTTTCCTTTTGTGGATCATACTTTTGATAACATATCTAAGACATTTTGACTAATCCAATGTCACTGATATTTTCTTATACAGTATTGTAATTTTTATGTTTTACAATAATTTTAACTTATATTCTGATTTTTTTGGTTGAAGTGCATTGTTTGCTAAATGGTATGTAAATACTAACACTATTTAATGAAAATTTACCTTTTCTCTAGTAAATGTCTGCCTTTGTAAAAAATCATTTTACTGCATATAGGTAGATTTATTTCTAGACACCTATTCTGTGCTAATGGCTGTTTTCTTCTATTAATACCAATGCCACATAATGACATTTTCTGACAAGTTTTGAAATATTTGACCATTAGCCTTATTCTTCTTTTTTAGAATTATTTTGAGTATTGGGACCCATATCATTTTTATATGACTTTTAGAACTAACTCATCTATTTCTGCAAAAAAAAAAAAAAATGAAGACATTGTGGTTGGGTTTGTGTTGAAACTATGGGTCAGTTTGTGGAAAAATAACATACTAACAGATGGATCTTTTGCAGTATAATAAGGTATATCTCTCCATTCAGTTTAGGTCTTCTTTGATCTCTCTTGGCAGTGTCTTACAGTTTTCACTGAGTGATGGATGGTCTTACACATTATTTCTCAGGTAGATTCATACTACCTCCTAGCTGTTGTCATGGTGATATTTTAAATTGAAAATACTTGATTGTTCATGTTCTAGTAGTTCCCTCATGCTCAGGCTCTGGTTTGTAATCTGTGGATGCCTGGGAGTGGAGCCTGCAGACCTCTGTGCCTCTCTGTAGGTAATTCTCTGTCCTGTGCTCTGCTCTGGAAGGTCCAGGTGCCATTACTGAACACCCCCCCACCCCTGGGTCATCTGAGCTCTGATCCCAGGGGTCCTCTGGTCTTTGGGGCAGAAACTCTTCATAGACAACAAACTGAGCCAATGAGGAGCACTTGCACTTGTTGCTTGATATCCATCATCTAAAAACCATTTTTTGAATATATTTTATATGGTTTTTGGTTGTTTTCAGGTGGGAAGATAAATCTGACCCTTTTTTTTTCCATTTTTATTTGAAACAAAAATTCACATTGAAAATATCCTGATCTTTTACTTTCCTTACTAGTTATGATAAAATGTTTTGAACACACACAAAAATAGAGAGAATTTGATAATGAAACCTCATCACCCAGATTAGTAATTATCAGCTCATTATATCTTTGTATTTTAAAATATGTTCTACTTGTTTCTTTACTCTGGATTATTTAGAACAATCCAAGATACCATTTTATTTGAAAACTCAGTACATAGCTCTCAAATATAAAGACTTCTTTTAAATTCATTTATCATATCTTTAAGAAACCCATAATTAAAAATAGATCAATTAACTATACCATTTAAACCTTATTTATGCTTTTAGTTTTTCACACCTGAAAAACTATTCGGTGTTTACTCAACTGTGTCCTGTTTATCCCCCCTAGATTACAGCCTCAATGTGCATCCATTTAGCTATAAATGTCTCTAGTTTCTCATTCTTTATGGTGGAGTAGTTATAATTGATAGTGTGAAATAGGAAGAAAATGGCTAAAGGGTAACTGGAAAGGGGAGGGGAAAGGAAATAAGGGGAAAGAAAAAAATGTGAAAAAAGGAAAAAGTGGAAACAAAGTCTTTGGAAATACGGAAGGGTGAAGGGAGTGAAGGGAGGGTAGGGATATGGGGAAAGAAATAAGAACCAAGACCTGTCATGTAAAGGTACAAGATCCTAATGGTAAATGTAACTGTATTGTTTGCTTTAAATGTACCAATAAACTTAATGGGAAAAAAACCCCACACCAATTATATGTGCAATGTCAGATTTTCTCAATTGAACCAAATATGTGCTTATATTCATACATATGATACCTGTGCTTATTGTATGTGCAATGAAACAACTGGAAGTAAAGGAACGCATATACAGTTTAATTTCAAATCAGGATTTCCATATCTTATGAATGAATGATCATATCTCAAGTTTATTTCAATCCACAAGCTCCCTCCTCTGTATCTTATTTTTTTCTCCTTGCCTTTTTTTTTTGTTGAAGAAAATAAGTGGTTTGTCCTGTGGTTTTCATCTTCTAGATATATTAATTACATACTTATAAAGGTATTTAACATGTTTTTCTATTCCTTATACTTTCTGTATATTAGTAGTTAGATCTAAAGGCTTGAGGTTTGGCCAGAATTCCCCATGGTTTGTATTGTATACCAGGTGCATAATATCTGATTTTTGTGATATTAACATACATAAGTGTTCATGATTTAGATTTATTATTTTAGTAGGAGTTACAGTTTTGTACTTCTCTCATGCCATTTCCACATATGAAGTGAAACATTTCTATAAGAAAAACACTCAAACTATTCAGTTTAAGGAAGAAATGATAAATACCTGAATTTTTCTCTTTATTTATCATCTTTCAAAATAATGAGCTGATTACCTCTTGCAAAGGCTTCTTTTAGTGTCAGAGTGTTAGACTTGGTTAATATGCGTCACTCCTCACTGTCTTTATTCCTAGTTCTCACTCGACTTGTCCCATCTTTTGCTGAGGAGTGCATCTTCTGGTTAGCCAGCTCCAGAGTTCTTTAGATATGACCCTAGTCGCTGTCGAGAGTTTTACTAAATCTATGTATTTGAAGGTTTCATGCCCCAAAGCTAGGTATCTTGTTATGATTTTTCTTAAACACCTTTAAATAAGATACTTAGAAACTTTAATCTGAGCATTTGGAGTGCAAATTTCTGTGGTGGTCACCACTGCTTCTTGGCTTCTTCAGAAACACGCTGATAGACTGCATTGTGCATAATGATATTTTTAGTCCAAAGTTAGAACTGTAGACTTTGAATATAACTTTGCTGGTTGCATCTCTGCATTCCTTACTCTCCTAAAATTTTGATTCCAGTGACAGGAACAAACTTTTCATTTGCTTTATTTCACTACAGACAATAATCTCAGAATAACAAACTAACACCCTCGGGAGTCAGTCCCATTCCCAAAACACTTCAGGTGCTTTTAGAATTCTTGCCCCATTTATGATCTCACTAGAAATGCACAAAGTATCTCAAAATTATGCTTTAAAGTCACTCAAAATAGTTCTCTGTACAGTTATGCCAACAACTTGGTAGGTTCATTGCACTCATTTTGTTTTAGATTTTAAGGTTAGGTTTTCAAATTTATTTTTGTATCCTTTATATAGTTATTATGATAAATACCTTCACGGTATAAAATCAAACTCACAAGAAGGAAGATGTTCAGGGGAATCTAGCTCCTCTCCCTCCTTTTTCTGTCTTGCACCCTACTTATCTCTATAATTATCACTTCACATTATTATTGATGCATTCATACATTTAAAAATCAACTTCAGTCGTTTGTGGGAAAGTGGATGCTCCCTGAGACCAGAATGTTAAGGGAAATAAATCAGACACACGAGCTTAAGTATCGCATGGCTTCTCTTACAGGAGAAACCCAAAATACGAATAAAGACCAAATTAAAACATAGATAATAGAAAGTAGGGAAATACATATTTCTCAAGTGGTAAGAGGACCAAGACATGAAGAGAGAGGGGAGGGAAAGGAGACAAAAAAGGGATTAAGCTGTGTTATACACATGTATCTACCCTGCATGAGGAATGTGAACACGATGTGTTAAAAACATGGACTAACTAAAAATGTTTTTACAAAAAATGTAAACAAATTACATATGAAAATAATAGCTACATATTATATACTTATGCTGTAGTTGTTTTAGATAAAAGGGCTATGCAAACATGTTTAATTATATTTTCTGTGGTATATTCTTTACACAGTATATTGAAAAGTGGCCCTTGAATAGCAGCGTACAGCTAATCTTCATTCATTATTTCAGCTGCATAGTACTCTCTTAGATGAAGGAACCATCTTTTATTCAATTTTTCCTCTTTTAAAGAAACTTGTGTCAATCTTTTGCAAGTAGTTCTGTAAAAAAAGCCTTGTGCATATGCCTGTCATGTTTTTGCCAGTGTATCTTTGGTATAGATTTTTGAGAAGTAAAACTGCAAGGTTAAAGAATAAATGCATCTGTTCTTTTGCTAGATAAATATTGCCAAATTCCCTTCCAGAGAGATTATACCAGTTTGCATTTGCACTAGGAATGTGTGAGTGTCAGTTTCTTCATAGCCTTGCCAACATAATAGGCGGACAAACAGATTTTTCTAATCAGGTGAGCCATATTACCTCATGCATGTTTCTCCTCTGTTTTAGGAAATAATTTATAAGTTAAAGCAAAGTTGCAAGAATGGCTCAAGTAACCTTTTTTCCAGCACTGTTTAAGAATAAATTTCTGACAGGTGTCTTGATGATCCCTGCAGTTTAGTGGGATTTCTCCTGTGTAAGTGACAGGACGACTAGGGCATTAGTATTAACACATCAGCACTAAATAATAGTCACATCCTACTTCTGTCTCATAATGCTCTTTGCAGGAAAGGGATCCAGAATCAATCACTCAATGTGGTTCTTTTTCATTTTTCTTTAGTAGTTTTTCAGTCTTTTCTTGATGCTCCTGACCTTTACTCTTTTGAATCCAATTATTTTGTAGAATGTTTCTCAATTTTGATTTGTTTGATTTTTCCTCGTAGCTAGGTTCACATTACAAACAGACATGGTATTGTGACATCATAAGACACAGTATTGTGATGTCATATTTTCACGTTTCTCTTGGATGCCACTTAACGTGAATTTGTTCTGTTACTAGGGATGTTAACTTGTTAATTTCTTTCTTTCTTCCTTCCTTCCTTCCTTCCTTCCTTCCTTCCTTCCTTCCTTCCTTCC